ATCAATATGTTTAATTTATTTGGTACGAAAGTTTGAAGAAATGACCACAAGGCCAAGTTGAGCGCTACACACCGCAATCAAGAACGAGAAAAAAATCGATGATACTAAAAAGATCAACCAATTATTTCACAGCAGTTAAAGAACAGTGCAGATGCTTATTGAACAGATTTCAGTCGCGATTACTCTTTTTTATACAACATGGTGTTTTCAAGCTCTGTTATTGAACATCCTCCCAACAGCGGTGTACCGCCTCATTGTGGCTGGAAGATGTTCCTAGGTGTCGGGCTGCCATGCACAGCGGCGAGATCCATCCTCCCTGCAGGGTCTCCCGAGCTGAGGAGTTCGGCATTTACATCAGGAATCCTAGCTAAGAGTGAACCAGTACCATGATCCACCACCGTTCTGGTATCAAAGTCGCATGGTGGCAAATCTTCCTCTGATCCACAAAGGCAGGGACTCTCCTGTGGTGATCCCGTGGTGAAGATGACCTAGCACGGACTTTGGCCTGGCTGACCTCGAGACTCCAGAGAATCACATTAGCTAAACCACCAAAATTCCGAAAAAATGAAGAATGTGCTTGAGGCCGCACAACCAGTAAAGATGGCCTATCCAAGTATCCAAGTATAATAAGTAGGTTTAGGTTATCGAAAATACCACTTAGTGCGGATCGTTTTTCTCGTAAAGAATGAGAAGCTTCGCCGAGAACACGAAAAGAAAAAACAAAACATTTTCCTTTAAAAGGTAGAATTCACAAGAAGGTAGGATGACCTTAGCCTACAATCTGGAAAATTGAGAGTTTGATTAGATTTTCCAGTAATAGAGCACATAATCTTCCGCAGTGACCTCTAAACGGAAGTCCACCAAAACAGTTCATTAAAGAATCGCTGATGCTAAGGTTCACCACCATACTTTGAAAACTGCCTTAACGTTTAATTTGTGTTATCCAATCGAGAAAAACGAACATAGATTCATCTTCAAGGTCGACTTTCTATTACTCTAGGTTTTGATGAAATAATTCAGTTTTTTCTTGATAAGCAAAAACGGGGTTTTTAGTTCATTCTTTACTGACGAGATTGCTGACGTTTCAGCAGATTTCGCCTTCTGCAGAGCATGGAAAGGTAGGTTGACTGCAATATACCAAGCCAGTAACCTCCATAAGCAAACAGAGGATGCACTGTACCTAGAAACGCAATTAAAATAGTGCTGAGATATTTGGAAAGCTTCACACCGCTGTTGTCTGCAATGGGGATCGAACCCGTTATTACCATTTCAGAGACTAACCTAATGACCACCACACCATACGGGTCCTACCTTTTGCCTTTATCTCAGCTAATCCCAGATTCCTAAATCAATCTCATTGACGGACGATTGCTAATGATAGTGTTAGATAGAAAACTAGCTGAGACCTCGCTGAAACTTGGAGAAAGCTTACTCCCTCTTCTGAGTGCTCAAATTGACCCATCCGAGAACTCCTACATAAGGAAATGTTTCTGAAAGATAAGTAACAAAAGCATAGTGATTCATTACTTTTCCTCTCATCTCTCACGCAGCAAATGAACACTTGTAAGAAACGTGTTTCAAACAGCCATCAGTGTGTGTACAGAAAGCGAATAGAAGGAAGAATTCCTGAAACTGGCTAGGCAAATAAGGATTTCCAATGGCTACCAAATTGTAGCTCCTCGGGATAGCTGTAGAGAAAACCTCAGGCCAGAAACAATAATTCTAGCGAAACTAAAGAACCATTTATCCTACCCTTTATTTCGAAAGGAATAAATGCAACTATAAAACGTTGCTAACCGGTTTAGAGAATTCGGCGGTATTCAAATACGACAGAGCACTGAAGACAGCAGCTAGTTCGAAACCTCCTTTATGACCGTCTATGCTCCATGCGAGGTCGTATAATATGTCATAATTCTAGAGACGGTGATTGCGTGAGTTCGGCTACAGTTTATCCGATTTCTTATAAAGGGTGTGGGAAAAAATACACTGGCGAAACGAGTAGGCCACTCTGCGCCAGTGTAAAAGAACACCTAATCAGCAAACTTAAAGTTGAACCAAATGCTGTGCTAGGTGTGCATAAGGCACAAAAATAGAAATTACCATTCTGCAAGGAAATAGGCAAACTTCGGCTCGCAAAACTCTCGAAATACTCTGGATAAGGTGCGTGTGGTGTAATGGTCGGAGACGTCCTGCAATACACACCACATGTGATCCCGCTGTTCGTGAGATCGATCCTTGCGCGCACGGCTGGCTCCTCAAGCTTTCAATCCCTCTGGGGTCGGCCAATTGGTCCCAGACGTGTCTGGGAGGATAGCAGCACTGGCTCGATACATTGGTAGGCCACCGCGAGACAATGTAAAGGCCAGATATGCATTCAATCACCTCCAAACGATGCTTAATGAAGTCGAATGCTTAGCGCATCTCTCAGGGATTGACCAATGATAAAAACTTTGTCCTTTTATTCTTTAATTCTGGATAAATTTTAAGAATGAGGAAATGAACATCAGAGAGAACGCCTCGTTAACACGCATGATCTCACACAGTATTTAAGACGTATTTTAATGTGAGAGAGACATTACTCACTCACGTGAACCTTGTGCAATTGTCTTCAAGTGGCATACTCAATGAAGCTAATTTGTTTTCAATGCGATTGAAATCTTGGTGCCCTTTTTTCTGTTTTTTTAATGGAGGTGCTTGGCTGAGTTGATTGCAGCCAACTTGACCTCTCTGGGCTCCGACGAAGGCGAAATCTGTAGGGGCGACAATTTTTTTGTGAATAAAAAGTAAAGTAACAACCTCGTACATGGTCATCGAAAAAAAAATTAAAACATTTTTCTCCTTCTTTCGGTGGATGTATATAGTACAGCACCCTTGGGTACAAACGTTGTCCTTGGTTCCATCCCGCGCCCTAGACTAATTGAACCCTTCACCCTTCGCGTGGCGCATTAGTACAAAATTTGTTTAAAGAAAAAAAAACGTTGAGTTGACTCATAGGTGGGCCACAAAAAATTATTTTTGGACTAAATATGTATTCAGTTACCTCCGCAATTTTACGAGGTGGAATGCATGCCGCATCCTCAAGAAATTTATCAAAGCGGTGGCTCTCTTTCTTAGTTATTTAATTTTCTTCTCTTCTTCATTATTTACAAATAGAAATAGAATGTAAATGTAAGTAGAATGTCGAAATTGCCGTCACAAAATCGGATCAATGAATTTAAATAAAAGATTTAAAGAATTAATAATTAAAGGACAACATGTTTAACAATTGTTTAAAAATGAAGGTTGCCATTTTAAAGCAATATTGCAGCACATCGAACAGGCATCCTGACCCGAACGCAGCTATTCCGTGAATTTCAGAATACTCCACAATGGACCAAAAGCTGTCAGCGAGGATCGATAGATTCTCGAGTTACAGTAATACTCACGCAAGATATTAACTACCTAAATGATACAGAGTTGAATGAACTAAGTGCTTACCGCTGAACAGTCACTGATGAAGACCTTTTAACTAAAAGTTTGAAAGTCTTAGTATAATCACCTAGTAAAGACATGAATCAAGTTTTAATTATGAATCGTGGTAAGAACTATGGATTCCCAATGGAGATACCACTTAATTCTTAACGTTTGCGCCTTGCTGAGGGCAGTGTGTTGCTTGGACGTGCCAAAAAAACAATTGCATCGTTTAAGATTAAATGGATACAATTCAGTTCATATTTGGAATGTATATATTATGTTATTTGCATCACCCGTCATCCCGCTAATCGCCGAATGGCTCAAACCAGCGCCAGCAATTCTTCCATTTCCCTTTGTCGCGAACCAAAGTAGTCCAGTGGCTTCTGCTCACTCTTGGGACTCGTGGAGCATCATATCTTTCTTCTAGAGTCTTTGTCAAGAACTCGGACAATCGGAACGGTGGTTTTCTTGCAATACGTTTCACATTTTGAGCAATCAAATCACTAACGGCTCTTGTCAATAGGACGTCGTTCATACGCATTACGCATCCGACCCATCTTATCTTCGTTAGTTTGGTGTAGAGAACTGCGGCTTTGATTAGGCTATACGGGCCGCTCTTCGCTCTTTGAGATCTTTTTTTTATCTCTTTTATTCATTGTTTTGTAAGTTTGGATGTGAATTAACTGCTGCCAGTAACTCATGCAAATCCACTTTGGCGTATCGGCTCGAGTGCTCCTGAGGGTAGCTGTCCCTTGGAGACTTTCGATTCCTCAGCTTTCATACTGATAATGTTAAGTTGTAGAATAAGTTGGTTTATTCCTGTTTGGTATTATCAGTAATAGTGTCTTCCTATCAAAAACTCTGCTGAGGATTTAGATGCAAGTGAGAATGTATTGTAAGTGAAGACCGTCATGTTTACTCCGCATGTATATCATATATTATATAGTTTTAAACTTCATATTTATCATTTTTAAATAGAAACGAATAGGACCGGCAGATCTTCGAAAACAAGGTAAGAATTTTGCCGTTCTACAAAGGTAAATTCTGATTTTAGGAGACCAATACATGTTTCTTCTCTGCAAGGCTCTTATTTCAAACGCCAAATTGTATGACCTCCAATAGGATACCATAGTGTTCCGTGGCACACCAGGTCTTCCACACTGTGAGATCGGCAAATAGATAACAGAATTGGCTCTGTAGATAAAACACTGATTGGATATAACAACAGGCTCCAGTAAATCACTGTGCAAACCAAATGTGCATTCAACCACCAGTACGATACTACAACAGGATTCGAATACTCAGGTATTAATTAACACTGAACGCTTTAACCTTTTATCGTTGTGTCTTCTCCTATGTATAGTCTCGTGCAACATCGGCGTGTAATGTGAATTTCACCGAATGATCCTCAGATTCTGTATGATTCGAATCTTGTATAGAGAACGAGTTGAATAATTTAATCATTTAATCATCGAAGAATAAAACTTCGCATGTCCTAGTCAAATAGAGTTACTGAGTTGCTATAGAGCTCATGTAAGCGGCGCATCTCACTGTTCTCCAGCAGGGGCTGTGGTAGGTGCATTCGTCTGTGCTGGGATGACTTTCAGCTCAGCTTTCGTTGGCGTTCTTAACTTTTTCGCTAACGCCATCAGCCTGCTCTGATTGTCCTAAATATATAAAGTGAAAAGTTAAACAAAATTGGATTGACAAAAGAATGATAAACAGCATCCCATTGACGTTATCGTTTTTACAGCATTTTGTAATCCTCTTCATAACAAACGTCCACTTGCAACCCTTGAGATTTCATCATCATTAGTGGTTATATATTATGTTATATACCAACGTGGAAGCCAGGCCAGATTCGAACCAGTGATTACACTTTCCAGCGACTCACGTCTTAACCGCTGCACTACTGAAGCCCTTGATTTGCCTTTCTCTTGGCCAGTTTTGCAAACATCTCAGCATCATTGTATTTTTATCTTGAATACTATGCTGCCGAAGTTAAAAACTAACGTATAAGAGCTCGTAAAGTGCTATAGCATAACCGTTTACTGTCTCTTCAATTCAACGGGGGAGGAGAGCTTTCTTTGGGTTTTGAAATGTGGTGATCTGCAGAGCAAAGTGAGCCAAGCCGAGAATAAGTCTAAAATTTGCTTCCGGAACCCCATGTAAGTTTACGCGTAGGAAAATGTAAAGAATCACCGTCGTCATTCCTGAAACTGCTCCATCGTTCACGAAGACGATGGGCTCAAGTACAAAGATTCAAATTCAAAGTGCTTAAAACAAAGAGTCCTTTACAAGCTTTTTTATAAAAATTGGAAACTAACCAGCATGTCCAAGTTTTTTTTTTCCAGAACATAGCAGTCAAAAGATCATCGAAAAGATTATTCACTTGGTATATGGCAATATTTGCTATAGAAAAGTGACCACCACGCGGAATGTTTGAGTATATATTTTTAACAGGGATTCTCAATCTTAACCCTTTCATTTACTGCCTTTCCCTTTTTAAAGGCAGAGTATGTCGCGAAATATAACGCGTATATAATGCTGAGATATTTGCAAAACTCCTGGTCGCAGGTGTATGCAGTTGGGAACGAACACGCGCTGTTGTCCTTACTGGGGAGCAGCGCACTTCACCACTACACCATCCGGGTCCTTCGTTTTGCTTGTCGCTCAGCGACAGTTCTATCGATCTTTTTGCCATCAGCAATCACCCGTCAACGGGATTGATCTGGGGAGCCCAAATCGGCATTGAACCCAGTTAAGCTGAGGCTTAGTTATAATCACAATCTTAGCCCTTTTATTTACTGCCTTTTTCTTTTTAATGGCAGGGTATGTTGCGATCGATAGATCGATAGAACTAGCTGAGAGACAGGCAGAACGAAGGACCCGGATGGTGTAGTGGTGAAGTGCGCTGCTCCCCAGTAAGGACAACAGCGCGTGTTCGTTCCCCACCGCATACACCTGCGGCCCGGAGTTTTGCAAATATCTCAGCATTATATACGCGAAATTCTCAAATTAATTTCTACAATGTTGAGATACTTGCAAAACTCCGGACCGCATGTGTCTGCGGTGGGGAGCGAACGCGTTATTGTACTTTCCGGAGAGTAACGCGTTCACCACCATACCATGCGGGTTCCTCGTTTCACCTGTTCCTCAGAAATTCTCAATTAGGTGTCATTTTGTACATTAACTAACTGAATGCCAAGACTAAAATGGAAAAAATGGAAAGTGTATTTTGACCTGTACAAGTAAAATCGTTCGCCATTCGAAGAACCAGTTATTTATTTACATTTAACAACCGTGTGTGTTTCCTGTTATGCGATTGATGAAGGGCATATACTAGGCAGAAAGTGGTGCGTTCAAACATCTTCGTGCCTACTAACAACCTCTCATCTCCCTGGGAGTTTAGCAAATAAATACATGCTAACGCGCGCTGAAGGCTCAGCGGTCAAGGACAATATGGGATAATAAACTCGTGGTCGCTGGTCCGACTCACCCGGGGCAATCAATGTTTCCATCTCTCCGAGTTCAGCAAAATGGAACTGAAATTCTTTGCGAAAATCTCACTTCGATCTCCAAAGTTTCCCAACTAATTGTTGTATAGACGAGAGGGTTTTATAGTAGAGAATACCAAGATTACAGGAAAGTCAACTGCACCAGCATCAAGCGATATTTGTGAGAAAGTTATCAAGTTTCACCCCAACCCACATGCAAGTCCGAAGACCTTTTGCGTCACGGATGCGAAACAACGATCGGAACTGAAGATATGTGGTTACCGCTCAGTTCATGAAATCAACTCATATAAATAAAGAAATGCATAACAAAATCGCTCTATTTTGAAAATCACAATACTTTATAGCCAATATAACAGTTAAAAAGTATGTCTGCGATAGGGCCTAGTAAAATTTGTGAACACTTCACTTAAGACCTTCCATATCACTCCTTGGTAATCATCGTGATCAAGTTCGCCTATTTAAAGAATTCACCCGACATGAGTTTCTTCTCAGTCTGACAGAGCACATAGTCAGGGTTTCTTGTTATTCTGCACAAAAAATATTCTGTTTTATTCTATTTGTCACCAACAGCGTTTTCCGAGCCCTTTTCGACTGTCGTACTCACGAAAGGCTTTTATGAGAACAACCATCTTTTGCTGTACTGTCTCACTTGAGAACTTGCTCGATCTCATTCGAACTCTGTGCTCTTCCATGACAGCGTAGTTATTGCAAATGAGATTTCCTGTTGACAATTTCGTACAACAACTTTGTTAAGAAGTTCTATCTAATATACTCATTGAACACTTCCATCATTGAACACTGCCACCTTCTTTGGCTTGTTCACAACTAATCACTTGCAGGACAATCGGGCATAACTCAAAATGACAGCGGTGACAACAGCAACAACGTCAACCATTTCTTCGCCTTATTATCGTCTGAGTGCAAGGTGAATGGAAAGGAACAAGAGCCAACAAATCGGCAATATGTGACCGACAATCACTATAGTCATGCTGTAGGCTGAAAACTGGTTTTTCAACAAACGTGCAAGCTTTTGAAAATCTTTGTTCAACGTATTGAGAGCGATTACATTCTCAACCTATTATCCGCATCACATACGCGAAGGACGGCTCATGTAAAACGACAAGACTAGATGTCATTAAGAAGATGATTTTCAGACTAAAGACTAAAGAAAGAAAGTCATGTTTAATAATAGCGGAAGCACTTAAGGAATGCACCCTATTCACACGATTTCCGGCTTGAATCTAATGAATTCAATAGAAGATGACGAACCTTCTTTCTCACGACGTTCATTTTCTGTTCGATTGCAACCTTAAGCTTTCGATATCGAATGCTTTCCAAGTGAACAGAGTCGTCGTCTTTTTCTTCACGTAGTCTCCTACATGAGAAGGATCATTCTTTAAACGGATCCGGCAAGAAAAAAAAATGTAGCGAGATGAAAGAAAGTAAAGGATCAAAAAAAAATAAAGGACGAATAAAACCTTGTAGGAGTTTTTGATATGTAATATGATACCAAGCCTCACCTTTTAATTATGCAACTGAAATAGATCACAAATAGAAGCATAAATGTGCACATCATGGAGAATGCAGGAATAACATACTGAGAGTTCTCCTGAATTCTAGTGTAGAAATGACTAAATTGAGAACACAGAAATTCTTCACTATTTTCATAGCATGATGTGTTGACGAAAGTGTGAGCCATATAGTTGAGAGACAAGCGAAACGGAGGACCGGCAAGTTGTGAAGGTGAATGCGTTCGCCCCCGTAAAGGGTAATAGCGCGTTCGTCCCCACTGCAGACACCTGTGGTCCGGAGTTTTGCAAATATCTCAGCATCGATGTGTGAGCCATATAGTGCTCACATCTGTTAACCTATGAGAAGTAATATTTGAAAGCAATCTGAAACAAAGACTAAAAGTGAATGCACATCCTCTCAAAGGTATTGTTTGATTTCTTTGGAAAAATCAGTGGTTTTAATCATTACAGACTATGAACAGGTCTGTAGTCTTGTGGGAAAAGTTCCCCAGGTTACGAAAATAAGCACGCATTTTATACTTATTACACGAAATTGCTTTGCTCAAAAACATCTGGACCACATAATATCAGAGTCTCACCGGGTAGAATAAGAGCTTTTGTTTCTTGTTCGTAAAGTTATTTATAGCTTGGCAATAAATCGTTAGTGAGTAATTACTTAACAAGTTTTTTTTCAGGTTTTACATGACCCGTCGTCACATCTACTGCGCGAATCCCAGCACTTCTTGCATTCGATTCATTTCCTCCCATCCAACATCGGCAGTGATCTTCGAACGTTTCGTCGTCATTTATCGACTAATCTCGCACTTTTTCTATTTAGTAGACACTTTGAAATTGTTTGCTTTCCAGCACTCCTGGGTTTTCATCTCACCTTAATCCACTGCATATTTATTTCGAATAAAGTGTACTTCAGTTCGCAATTACGACCGTGGTATCCAAAACGACAATAACAGGAGAATTGACGAGTAGTCGTTGGATCTTCGTAGCAGTCGCCATTGATGCACATTCGATTTCCTATAAAACGAAACTCTTAGATTTGAACACTCACCATACTGAAACACCTTTATTTCAAAAGTGTATATGAGGCTCTGAATGAACCTAAAGACAAAGAAACACAATCAAGTCGAGGTCCTCGTGCCCTAATTTGCTACTTCATAGACTGTTTTCCCTTAAGTATCGTTACACTATTGAATGTTTATTCTGAGGTAGACCATGGTTAGAGTACTATACTCTAGCTGTGAGCAGATTATAATTTCACCTTAGTCGACCATTTTAGCTTAAGTCACTCAACCAAATGACCCTGGTAGGCTTTGTTGACTTGAATACCTTGATTAATTCGCTAACACTGCTCACTATTCAATTAATAAAGTTATTAAGAATAAGTTACATAGTTTGAAGTCTTATGAACATTGATTGTAACCTACCAACTGCTTGACAGTAATCGGTGACGTGTTCACAAAGGGTACCAAATGTTCCCGGAACGCATTTGCAACTGCAGAATGAGCATGATTACTGGAGTTATATGAGTAAGTAAGTGGAGTAAGTAGTAACAGCATAATTAAAAACTAGGAAAGTTTATTCCCATGATAAAGGTAGTTCAGCAATTTCAAACGTGTAGTTGTGCAAAAACAACCTGAGGTAACAAGAGGAAAAAATATTAGAAAGTCAAGGCCCACATAAAAGTTGCTCAAAACTTTAACTTTGATTGGATGAAAAACAAAAAGCAGCTGGAGAGCAACAATATTTTAAAACCGACTTTTGTTTAACCACAGTATTATTAACCAACGTCTATTCCTTCACCGGTAAGCTAACTCGAGGCTAAAATTTCAGCGTCTTCTCATTCATCACGGCCAGATTGATCACAGGCAGTTGTCCACAGTTGTTCTTTCTTCCAGTGTGGGTCTCGAATAAAGAACTTCACTGGGCAGTGCTCTTTTATTCAGGACGGTTGTTATTCGCAGCGTTTGCCCGTCGATAATAACTTCTTTTTCTCAGAACAATCCATTCTGCAGCAATCGGCATCACTATCAGCTAGCACACAGCGTAACAGTACTTCAAGATCCGATTTTCCTTTAATCTCGGTATGAGTAATGAACATGTATTCTTCATGGTTAGGCTGACACGAGGTGCACTGCCGAATGAGGCTCTTTATTGGAGTAGCGCACCACTGGGTTCGACTTGACGTGATCACGATAACTGACATCAGAAGAAGGAACAACTATGCACAATTGTTTCGGACCAATCCAGCCCTGAGGAATGAGAAGTCGCCGAAAACTTAGCCGAGTGAAGTTTTTTTTATCAACCTCGCTTTATCTTGTAATTGAGGAAAGAACTTTAAAAAACATTTCGACAAAAATGCTTTACTCGTAGTTGAACGGTGATTTTGCGATGCATAGAGCACCATTCATGCAGAGATGATTGTGACATGCATCTTCCGGTGTTCGACAATACGGTGCCATGAAACCAGGCTCACATACACATCTAGAATCTTCTATCATCATACGAACACTAGTATTTCTAACCATGACATTGTTGAGATATTTTCAGAGCTCCGGCGCGCTGGTGTCTACGGTGGAGACCGAGAACGCTATTACCCTTTCCGGGGGCTAACGCGTTCATCAACACACCATTCGAGTCTTCCGTTTCGCCTGTCTCTCAGCTGTGTTATGTTATTGAACTGTAGTCGCTATCAGTAATCTCCCATCAACGGGTTTGATCTGGGAAGCAGAAATCGGCAGGGACCCAGTTGAGCTGAAGCTATGGCGTAAATCACAATGTCAATTCTTATTTAAAACATTTTAAAAAGTTGAACAAAAATTGACGACATTATGATTAGTATTTCTATCTAAATAAATCTTATGGGTAAAGAATACTAGCTCTATACAAGTCGTTTCTTCGCGGCAACCACCTAGTGGATGAATATCATTCAGTAAATTAGCCGATAAGCAAAGGTGAATGTTACAAAACTTCACACTGGCCTTTGTTTAGAGTCTGTTGATTGTGGATAACTTACACGAGAGCAGCGTTCGGTGCTTCTTTATAAATCTAATCGTAGCAGGTACTACACATGTTTGACTAGAACCTCAAAACGACCTCTTCCTTCCTTCACTGTACGCTTAGTGTATGATATGAGCAAATGGTTTGTCATAAACCGGTAGAGTTACCGTGTAAAAGTGCTTCGTTCATTTCAACGTCTTTTAAAAGACAACAGATATGATTAGTGGTTGTTCGAGTTTACCTGAAGCCATCGCGTTTTTCCTCATCGCTACAAAGCTGTAGAATATCACCCTGATCGTCGTGTTCACATGCCAGGCACTCACCGTGATTGCAAGGATTATTTGCTCGCGAACAGTTACCGGTACCAGTGTACACGCATTTAGTTTCTACAATACATTACATTTAATAGTATTTTTTTGTAATGCTTACATTTTCGTAAAATCTGAAGAGTTGTACATTCTATTTGCTTGATAGCGGACATCCACAAATTGGGAATATGTAGAAATATTCCCATTTCCAGTGATATTTTGCGAGCTGGACAGGTCTTTTTACGCTAGAATTCTGAGACGACCTCTCGAGAATTTCTTCATATTCCTACATGGAAGGCGTTAGCTAGTAACCCGTCTTTGTGGATTAGACGTGGGCTATACCTCTTTTAAATTCCATTTCCTTTAGATTCCATTTCTTTTAAGACAGAAGCCAATCCTTGACAAAGTGCTTGCATGAGTTCTTGCTCTGGGATACGAATGTTGGGCTCTTTGTCCGTCTCGGGAATCTTGCTAGCAGGATGAATCCTACGCTTTGTTTTGCGGTCCGCCATTCATGAAGATTACTGGTCATACATTTATTTTTTTCGTTTAGGGTGCCAACCAGCTGCGTTTTTTTCGTCGATGCCAACGGCCATTCCACATAAACAACGGTAGTTTTGTGCCGACAGTTCGCCTTTCACTTCGACCTCGTCAGGAATCTACAATTGTTACAAAATTAATAAACAAGAAAATTCTGCTAGCCTGTGTATTTAGCTGGAAAGCACTAAAAAATATTTTTTCATTTATACTGCAAGTCTACGTGGAATTTCGGAGAGGTATAAATATGATTCAGCCAGTGTAGGAGGTTCCAATTGCATTACTATTGGAATCGAAAAGAAATGGAACTGCTCCATGTAAACTCCTTATTTACCACCTATTACAATTTTTTACGGCGGGTATTACGTGTAATACAACCACAATGATGCTGAGATGTTTGCAAAACTCCGAATGGCAGGTGTCTGCGCTGGGGAACGAACGCGCTATTGTCCTTTTCGGGGAATAACGCGTTCACCACCACACCATGTGGGTCTTTCGTTTCGTTTGTCTCTCTGCTAGTTTTACTGATCAGCGCCATTACCCACCCTCAAAGGATGGGTATTTCTATTCAATAAATTACCCTTTCCGGGGGAGCATATGTTACACACTGCGCCACTGCTGAAACCCTTGTTTTACCTTTCTCGCAGCTACCTTTTTGCCTAACGCTGCTATCAGCAATCACCAGTCAACGGGACTGATCTAGGAAGCCTAAATCGGCAAAGCACCTAGTTAAGCTGAGGATGAAGTCGAAATCACAATGTTAACTTCTTGCTTGAGTGGCAAATCTCTGATCCACAACGGCTGCGACTGCCTGTTGTTGACCATATGGAGCAGACTTTGGCCAGGTTGACCTCGGGATTCCATGGAGCTACATTGACTTAACCAGCAAATCCCCGAAAAATAGAGATTGTGCTGGGGTCCGCACAACCGGTGAGGACGGACCATTTAAGTACCAAGTATCAAGTAACTTTCTGCTCTAAGATGAAGCTGAGTTGCTTGCAAAACTCTACACCGCAGGTGTTTGTGGTGGTGAACGAACGCGCTATCACTCTTTCCGGGGCTAACGCGTACACCACCACACCATGCGGGCCCTTCGTTTCGCCTGTCTCTCTGCTAGTTCTATTGATCAGCGTCACCAGCAATCACCAGTCAACGGAATTGATCTAGGGAGTCCAAATCGGCAGCGAACTTAGCAAGAGGGCAGCAAATAAAACGGTTAAGATTTTTGCTCTATATTTGAACTAGAACTGCTCTATAGTTTCTCACCGCTATACATTCTGACGTTTTTCCACATGGATTTCTTGCGCAAGGATCATACACTTCGCAGTTCTCGCCCACATATCCGCGATGACAGCTAAATGAGTGTTTACTACGTTAACATTGGGAATCAAAAAAGAAATGCAAGTAAAATGATGAAAGCAGTTTGAGTTCTCACTATGATTAGCAACAAAAAAAAAATAAGGATGCGAATGGAACTGTGGCTCCAACCAAACACCGAACACAGATACTTACTGGCCCAGACATAGCACAAAAGTTGGCAGTAGTACCGCCGTGTGTTCTACTTCTACGTACTCGCATAATGGGATTCCTTCTGGTGCTATGCAGATGCCGTTCAGTAGACTGGTGCACCGATTCTCACGCGTTACTCCTCGTTCCTTTTCGACGGCTGTCGGATCACACGCATCATTTCGATGGTACTGAGGAAAAAGTGTACAAAATAGTAACGAGTATAATAGTAAGCAGTATTTAACTTTTTCTAAAAATAATGTTTAGTCTTTCCACATTTTGCAAACACAAAGGACTACCGAGTTTTTCTAAATCTCTAACAGTGACAGAAGCTCAAGAAGAAGAAACAGTTCAGCACCCAGGAAAGTACAGGATTCATTAATCATAAAGTGTTTAAAGCCATGACATCGAACCTCGCAGAAACGTCCACTATCCGCACCTTTACATTCACAAAATGGAACCAGATACAGTTTTCCCGATTCGACTAAAATTCAAAACATTTAAAAGAGCGCTTGCACTTATTTTCAAGAGTTCGTAATTATTGGCTTAATAAAGCAAACCGTTACCCTCAAAGAGTAAAAGAAAGTAAGGAACAAAATGATTATACAAGCTTGTTACACAAGATTATCCAAGTACTTAAGACTAGTGTGTATACTTTCCTTCTTTAAGCAAGTCACGTACATTTTTCCACTCGAACAATGCACTTCCCTTCGTGATAACACCATCCGTTTGCTAGAACTCCTTCTCCATTGCAGCGCTTTCCGTCGAACTTCATGCAAGATTTTTCAATCGTTAATAAGTCTTTTAGATCTTCATCTTCTAATCTGAAATACTAGTGGCTGTGAAAGTAAAACTGCAAAATGCAAATGAATGTTGAAATGTTAGGTGAATAATGGAGGCGAATATTACGCAGTGGTTAGAGGTGCCACGTAGCCGTTGCTTCGATCCTGCGCTCCAGGCTCAACTAACCTTCCATTCCTCTGGAGTCGGTAAATTGGTAGCAAAGTTGTCTGGGTGGATAGCTGCGCTGAAGCGATACATCGGTGGCCAGCACAAGTAAATGACAAAATGTGCATCCACCTCTAATGACGCTTGATAAAGTCGAATGCATTGCGCACCTCAAGGTTGTATCAACTCCAAAAGTTATATCCTTTTACTTTATTAGAAATTAAGCTTGTTGATATCTAAGAATAATTTTATTAGCTACCGCAGATTTATAAATATACCCCATGTCTGCAATAAATTGGGAAATAAATAGCGGGTTCGGCCCCAGTTATTTCTTTACTGACGCTTCACGCGGTCTACTCTATTCCTATCGTCACAAAGTGATTAAGTTATACCTGTCTTATAGAATGCCTTACAGGGTTCACTGGTGCTTGTGGCAGATTACCTTACCAGAAAAGAGCGGTAGCAATTTGCCAATATTGGAGGGAATAAGGAGCTTTTTCCCAGGTGCATCTAAGTCTGGTACCAAGTTCCTCACCTTGGAAATGTCAGAGGCTTCTCAACAACTCAGCAATAAGGAAACTAATGAGCACCGTGTTCGTGATTCTAGAGTCATGCAATGCCTCAATTTGCTTCAACGACACGTGAAACACCTCGGTTTTGCCATATCACGCGTCATTTTTACTGTGGCGAAAAATGGCATTGAGTAGATCGCTCAGCAACTCCATAGGAGAATGTACACCCAGAGGTTCTCTGAGTGTAAAAAAATTGACGTCGGAGATGACCCCAACCATTCTCGTGTACTTCTCATTTCTCAATATTGCCTACGAAAGAGGTAAATTATCAGCATAAATTAGTAAAAGTATGCTACCGTTAAAAGTCCATAAGAAAGGTATGATGCTCAACGAGTTCCTAGAGCGAGCAGAACCCATTGGGCAACTCTAGTCCGCCTCAAGGAAAAGTGGAAAATTCACTGGCACCCGCTCGAGTCACTCGGCGATCAACAGGACTGCAGATAACGCGACCGCTCCTTACCTATGTTCAAAACCTTAACTCCACACCCAGCCACTGCCTGGAGAGAGTTTCGCAGTCTCGCGTCAAAGTCATTTGAAATCGTTCACATAGCGGAGATTCATAGAACAGGTACATCCACATGATTTCCGTAACTAAGCAAAAAAATGCCTCTTATGAGAGTGATTTTTTTAAAGGGCCAACTGATGATACCAAAAATCCTTTCGTGATCACACTTTCATTCACGTACTTGTTGAACATCTTCATATACCATCCATAGAAATTGCCTGACTCTTCACATGGAATAAATTCCGACTTTTCATCATTTGTTTCAATCCTTTCGCAATGATCTCCTAAACATTAGTGGTCAGTTTCGTTCTTTTTTCCCGAAGTCTGCGACAGAAAAAAATCTATTGCAAGCCTTTCATCGCATTGGTTGAGATTTGTTTCACAAAATGACTACTCAGATATAAAATTATGAGAAAATATTCGTTTATGATGGTTGGATTTGCTATGAAACAGCCGCTAGCGAATCGTGCGGTTGCGAACTGCAACTTGAGGAAGCAAAAAATGTGTAATTAAGAAATTGTGGAATAAATATTACGAGTTTTTGATTACACCAAAGCCATCTCACATATCAGAAGTCATATGACCCTGAACTCTAGACGAAAAGGATTTCTACCGCAGAACCGAACTCACCTCCGATAATGGTCTTGACAAGTTCCGTGTTCGACGGACAAATGCACACCGCTTCAACTGCATCATCTAATGGATGATATTTTAATGTACAGTTTGCTGTGTTCATACAACTATAGTCAACACATGGTGATCGAATGTCGCACTATAATGATTTTATTTTTATGCTAAAAACGTGGGAAGAAAGCAAAAGTCCGCATAGAAACTGTTCAGAAATGAGCAACACTGTAAAAGATTTCGAAACATTATAGAAGTACTCTTAATATAACTTATTATATGAAAACGTACAAAACGTAGGAATCGATTGTTTATGAACTCTTTTCTCAGCAATGGATTTACTGGTTGTAATGCTAACGAACGCAGTGGTCACTCTGCAGCACACACGTAGAATTGATCCGCGTGCCCATGGCCCACCAAGCCTTCCACCCTTCGGGGTCGACAAATTGGTACCAGACTTGTTTGGGAGGATAGCAGCACTGGCTCGATACATCGGTGGGTATCGGGAGTCATTGTAAAGGCCAGATATGCAATCAATCACCTCCAACGATACTTGATGAAGTAGAATGCATGGCGCATCCCTCAGGGATTGATCGACACCGAGTGTTTTATTTATTTATTTATTTAATACCAATGGACGTCGTTGGGTGTGTGAAATGGTTTTTCTGAAGCCTTATAATGGCACGACTTCTTCTGTCGGCATTTTTTAAACTTTTTTCCTCTTTCATATTTACATGCTTTTTAATCATTGTTTTCGTATTCTATTTGGTCCAAACAATTCTTGATCAAAGGATGGGTATTTCTATTCAATAAATAAATTACGAAATATCAGGTATAAAAAACAAGACTGCCCCGAGGTATTTTTAGCACTAGCTTGTAAGCACAGTTGTGCTGTGCATTCACTTTAGAAATCTTCCATAATAGAAAGAAAAGAAAATGGGCGTGAATAATCCAGAAGTAGCATATGTCTAAGAAAAACCAGCTGTAAGGTTGGCTATGCTGTAAACGTTATTCTTTGCTCATTTACTTCATTTACTTCTGGCTTAACAGTAATATAGCGAAACATTATTTACCTTTTCCCAAAAAAACATAAGCGATAGTTTTCCTTTAAATTTTGGAAAAATGCTTTTTACTGTAGTACATGTGGGGCAACTTTGAACGACTATTGGATAATAACTTTTTCTGTTATGTCTAAAAGTGCTAACTCAGGCATGGAAAAGTTTTTAGAGGTCACATCACTAACTTTTTCACCTATCCACTCATCTGGATCACATTCACAAGTGCATCCGCTGTCTGGATCGTAACGGCCCTTCCCATGACCACTACAGTAATCTTCTTCGCAGTTTCGTTCCAATTCCAATATATGACAGAATTCACCAATGAAACCGTCCACACAAATACATCTGAATTAATATTTGATTTTGCTCTTTTTCTATCTTGTTTATCTCCACGGTAGATAAATAACTTTGCCAGAAAACAGACGCGTAGAACGATAAAAGCTAAAAGGGCGCGGGTTTTGTCAACCGCTGAGAGATACGCTATACATTTGACTTCACCGAGCATCGTAGAGGTTTTAACATGTATAATTTAGCCTAAATGGCATTAGGAAGTCTAATTATGTGGAAAGTTAGCGTTCTTAGCTTCCCAAAGAAGTCCGGAACAATTTCGTTGCACCGAAGGGATCTAGCGTTTGGTTTTGCAAGGCGTGGAATAGTACCAAAGACAATGTTTTTATTATAGAGCACCTATTAACACTTCTACATGCGCTCTCTTTTGTTCTTTAGTTTGAAACACCAAAAATAACAAAACTTACTGGTACTGTATGGTTATCGTGATATTCACGTTAGCTTCCAATGCGGACACACCATTGTGATGCTTTTTATACTCACGTAGCAGAATTGGATCCACAAAGGTCCGCTCTTTTTCTGTGCTGAACAGAAAATCACCATTTTCAGTTGCATGCAAAGCCTATTGTCTTTAATGCTCTAATTTCCTAGCGTGAAAGCAGTTCTTTCTAGGCATTGGACCACAGTGACCAGCAAAATTCGCTGTCGTTTTCATCTAATCTGTAAAGATTGGCGGCCTCTTGTAGTAGCGATCTAAGAAGGGAGCGGTTATGAATATCTCATGTCTTGTGAAAGTTCTGGTAATAAGCAGTTATCGTCCGACCTACAAAATAATCCCACTTGGTCTAAAACTTGCTGTGGTTCCAACAGTGTTCGGACGGTGGTCATCCCATTATTGAAGTTCAAGGCTATAGGATTATAATTCAAGCCTCATGTAGTGATGAATTCAGAGCCTCCATCATCTGAGCTGTTTTTGCACGACTTTCTTATTAACGTCAATAAATAGTGGACTAGTTTGATTCTGTAGTCAACATCAAGCTTAGGGTACGAAGGCATAGTATATCCGTGCTTCTTATTCTTCTTTCTCCAAGAATTTTTTATTCTTTATTTTATTTCGTATGATCCGTCTTCACGTTTACGGTGCGGATCCCCGCACTTCTCAAATTCGATTCGTTCCCTCGCATCCATCATCCAAAATATCATCCACCAAGTTCTTCCAACTTTTACGTGTGGCTTCGGCTGCTACTTAAAGGTTTTCATTTCATCTTGAATGCCGTAGAACTACTAGTCGTATCGATTCTCCCTGGAGTCCTGAGACAGCCGGGCTGGAGCGTTCCCAATTAGATTGCAGAAAGCGATTTTTTTCCCAGACAAGTCCGGTACCAGTGGAATAAAAGGCCCTTTAAAAATGGAGTTAAGGGTGAAATGCGTGACATTTAATATGGAATGCAAAGAGTGGTTTTCTCGCACACAAATCTGTTACCAATTTTCCGACCTTGGAGGGATGAGAGGTTTGGTTGGCCGGGAGCGGAATTGAACTGATGCAATGCTCGTAATGTCTGACATCACTACCACTGAACTAACCGCCCGTTCTTCAAGAATATATTCGAATAAAAAGAAAATTTGGTAAGCTTTTTGAATAAAAATTACCGAATGCGATTATACTTTCCTTCACTTAAATTTGGGGCATGCGTAAAATTATGTATTACCCTAACCGTGAATTTTATCATTAGTTCTGCAAACTGCATTCATTTCTGTTATGACTCTAATGGTCACTATCTGCTAACTTCGTCTTACACTCACTCGGTACCTCTGAGGGCTTAACGACCGAACTATCCATGCTAGGGAAAAAGCTTCAAACTCACCTTAAACATGTGCCACCATTCTGACATCTATGATTCTTACAAAATCGAGTGTCTGCTATTCGTTCACATCTCTTGCCGAAATGCGTAGGTGGGCATTGACAAATAAATCTTAATTCGAGCAAGCTGAGGCGATTTTTATTTTAGTATTACTAGATGACGAATATAAATCTGAAACTCACTGTCCTTCTCGATTTATGCACTTTCCTTTATTGTGGCACATATTTTTTGAGGTCAGACATGGGTTGTAATCGCCCATTTCTTGAACAATCGGCGCATCATCGCCATTTTCCTCCAATTTACGAATAGTTGGAAGTTTTATGAAGCCAGATTTCATGCTTTGATACTTATCCATTTCTGAAATGCATCTAGTTTAATATAGCTGCTTCAAAATTTTTGACATTTATGAGCTCTTATGGTTATATTTTAAACAAATCAATAACTATTTCTTTATAAGCTCACGTTTTGCACTTTTCGACCTCGTCTTTTTACCATTCACATCCTACCGTTTGATCGCCAACTTTGATGTGTACAATATAAAAAATTTCCTCGACACCAGACCTTAGAGCTTCGTCCCTGCCGGAGTTGATCCTGGGTAGCGTCCTACAATGTATAGCGATGCTTCATTCCCAGCAAGGTCCCTCAAACTATGAAGTAGTTTAACATAGCGGCCTGGACGTCTTGCGAAGAGTAAACCCGGATCACTTCAGAGTACACCATGGTTCTCGTGCCTTCATTCTTGGCAGAAAAACGAGAAAAGAAGAGCATTGTACCACAATTGCGTCGCTCTATTCTAACTCTTTGGTGCGTGACGGTGGCAAATGGACGTCACAGATATTCATTTGATTTATTCGGTGACCGATGGAGGAATCAGCGATGCAGGCGATGGTAGGAATTTATTTGGTTGCAGTGTACGGTTGTTTAAACCTCTTCTACTCGATGCGTTCGATGCCAAGTACCATGGGTTTCCAAGCGGTGAAAGACTCACCTGTTCCTTCTGGTTTCTTATTGGGTAGTAGTATTGCGATAGTTGAAGTTAAAGAGCAGATAGTATGAAACACTAGCATGAAACACTGTTTGATCAACACTGAGCTTCTTTATCTTATCTTTCTATCAACAGGACTTTATCGTTGAATTTCACGTGGCGAAGTTAATTTGTTTCTCGTAAGAGATAACGGATTCAACTCTTTGAGATATCACACATCCTATTGTTTCTATATTAATGTCTAAGTAACGTTCCGCATCATATCAGCACACCGTTTATCGACCAACAATCGAGTTTATTTGATCAATGATAATAAAATCAATACATAATAGCTAATTCTAGGGTTTGAAAAATTCTCATTGGATGCCTTAAAAGTGACTAGCAGTGACTCTTTTAAAAAATTCTTGAAGAGTATCTTCTTTTCCATGAGAAATCACCGGCTGCGTAAGTGGTAGTTCAGCTGAAGTCGAAATTTTTAGTGTCACATGTGTTCTGGAACGTGGAAGAAAACTTGAAGAAAACCAGTAGAGTTCCAAATATTACTGAAGATCAGAAAATTAAGCATAACAATCTGGAGACTGCCTACCTTTTTCCTTTTCTGATCTTCTGTTCGGCTTCACATTCATGCTAAAAAGAATGGTTATGGTGTCAGTTGAAACACATTAATAAATAGCCAGTTTGGATATTCACAACCTTATCTATGATTATTCTATGATTCTATGATTATGGCTTATTTGTTACGTACAAGTTCCATGTTCCTCCAGAAGCACTCCTCCTAAAGTTAAAAATATGGAAGCCTGCTAAGAGAAAGCTGCATGGCATAAATCATCCCGAAGGATTCAAATTTTTGCCCAATCGATGCCGCTGTTGTTATCTCATCGATTTATATGGGATCGAACTACATCCTTCTTTGCGAAGTTTCATCTTCTCGCAAAACACGGTAAGATTTTAACACTTTTTACTCCCACATTTTGTATGAGCCCATTCATTTTAATTTCTCTGCTGAGATTGTGGCCACCGTAAACAAGTGACAACATTGTAATATACACCACAGCTTCAGTTTAATTGGATTTAATGCTGGTTTGTGCTCTCTGGATCAATCCCGTTAACGGGTGATTGCTGATTGCACTTATAGGTCAATAAAACGGTTGAGAGAAAGGCGAAATGAAGGACTCGCACGGTGTGGTGGTGAACGCGTTAGCCGCTGGAAAGAGTAATAACGTATTCGGTCGCCACCGCAGACAGCAGCGGTGCAGCGTTTTGCAAATATCTGAGCATCGTTAAGGGCATATTTTGCATTTTACGAAAATTATTTACATAAAGTGCGTTCATAGATCACTTGAAATAATATTTGAACTAAAACTTATCATCCGCGCAAGCGAATCCAAAACTTTAGCGCACAAAAGTCTTGAAGCTATCTGGATAAACCACAAAAATCCGAAAATGAACCGTGTGGAGTCTCTTATGATCGCGCTTGAGCTCGAGCCATGCCTCAGGATGATTATTCGACTTGAGCAAAGCACTATTTCTCAACCATGTAAGACTCTGTGCGCTTCTTCCAACTGAATAACTGGTAGACTTACAAAGAAAGAACGGCGAGTGAAGGAAGCTGTTCTTCATGGGAACAAAAATTAACGCTTAGTGCATTTTTTGCTGGTGATTTTAAAGTGACTTTTCGGATATTAACGCAGGAATCAAAAACGTCAACGCTCAAGAGTCTTGAGGCATTCCGGATAAATTTCGAAGGCCCGAAGCTGAACCGGAAATACGCATGCCTTACGATTAAATGTGACCTGGCGCCTTATTTCGAAACTGTTTTCTGACCTGGGTGCCTCTCACTTGCCATGTCATTGGAGCAGCACACAGGTGATCCCACTCGAGATAGCACGATGAGAAGTTTTTGAACAAATTGGCCTTTATTTATATGTTGGATCTTCATTAACACTACAGATTTATGTCGAATTATATGCGTATTTGCAAAACTCTGGACCGCAGGTGTCTATGGTGGGAAATGAACGCGCTATTTTCCTTTCCGGAGAGTAACATGCTCACCACCACACCATGCGGGTCCTTCGTTTCGCTTGTCTCTCAGCTATTTCTATCAATCTTTGCCACAACGATCACCCGTCAGCGGGATTGATCTGGGGCGCCCAAATCGGCATAGAACCCAGTTAAGCTGCGGCTGTAGTTGAAATCACAATGTTATACCTTTTTATTTTTGGCCTACTATAATTCAATCTCGCTGGCAAGTGATTGCTGTGGCAAAGATCGATAGAAATAGCTGAGAGACAGGCGAAATGAAAGACTGGCATGGTGTGGTGGTGAACGCGTTACTCTCCGGAAAGGACAATAGCGCGTTCGTTCTCCACCATAGACACCTGCGGTCCAGAGTTTTGCAAATATCTCAGCAGCGTTGCGGTTGTATTTCGCTTAGTACCCTGCAGCGAAATTATAGTAGGCAAAAAATAAAAAGGCATAATATTATATGCGTATTGTTACATAAAATACCACCAGGATAACAGGAAGGCGAGAATCGCCGAAACATCCGTTTTTGAAAAACAACCGTTATAATAATAACAACAACAACAATAGTGACAACTTAAACCAACCTTACGTCAACTCAACAAGGGCAGTTTGCAAGAACATTTCACCTGCATCACCTTTCGTCCCGTTGATCATCGAGTGATTAGGGCATGCGTCAGTAAATCTTCCAATTTCCCCTGTCGCGTGCTAGAGTAGCCTAGTGGGTTCTGCTCGCTCTAGGGATTCACTGAGCATCGTACATTTTTTCTTGTATTCTCGTAAGAAACTCAGACCACTGCATCGGTGGTCTTGCAGTACGTTTGAAATCTCGGAAAATCCAGTCAGTAACGGTTCATGTACATCGGTTTCGTTCATACGCATTACATGTTCGGCCCACTCTATCTTCGACAGTTGGGCGTATAGAACGGCACCTCTGATACCTGATCGTTGCCGCAAGTGGGAATTTTAGATCACTTCCTTTGTTTAGATGAAAAGTGAGACCGAACCAGATCAAGAAATCAATTCGGCGAAATGCACCAGATCACGTGTGATAGTGAGGCATTCGTCTTTTCGGTTCATCTCTGGATTGTTGAAATTTATCCAAAACGCCTCAAGAGTTTTACGCGTTGATGTTTTCGATTCCTGCGCTAGGATCCGCATATTCACTTCAAAATCATCGCCGTTGCGCTTTTGTGCCCTATTCGTACCTAGAGGAGTGTTTTGACGGTTCTTAACTTTGTCATCCAGATGTTCCTTTATGCGGACACAAAGTGGTCTACTCGTTTCTCCAATATATTCCTCGCCGCATGTGTTACATGAGATCAAGTATATTATACCTGAACTCATGCAATCCTCGTCTCTTCCGTCAGGACAAACCATGCAGTTTTTTGTGTTACACAAGTGATCATAAAGGCGACTGCAGACTATTTCACAGCGTAGGATTTAGATGGGAGGTCAATAATCGTTACATGATTTTCAAGAACACGTTTGCCAAGGCATCTCTTAAGGGCATAACTTATTTTGTTTGATATGGAGAGTAGCCTAAAAGAGATATTACTTAGGCTCGAAATGTCATTTTATAGAACAATTCCACCTTTTTGTCTGATCTGAGTGGCTTCTTCTTCGTAGCCATTGGAAATTGCTACTTTTCGTTCCAGGTTTAGCGATTCTTTCCTTTCCTCTTCTCTTCTGCACGATATTTATAGCGATACGGTACATATTTTTGTGATAAGCACTTTCTTCATGTGTGAGGGATGAGAGGAGAGGTAGTGGACTAGTACATTTTTGCTTTTTTAGATTTTGAATTTTTAACCCATTTCTAAACCAATCCTGCGCAGAAGCACGTGTAGTCTGCATGAACTTCTAGATCAGCTATTTTACAAGGCTAGGCTAGAAAGATTAGGCAAAATGGTAGCAAGGGAGAACTACCACCAATACTTTTTCCCGAACTTTCTTTATGCAAGAGCTACCAAATAGCGATATTAACCCTGAATTTCGTTTATTTTCGGACGAAATTTTCCACATACTTAATCACTAGCAAAAAAGGAAGATACGCCCCAACCTTACACACCAACAAAAATGTGGCGCGCGTCAGGTTAGAGTGCTCTTGAATTCAAAATCTACAAACATTCTATTAGTGGTATAGGTGGAGAATTTGTAGTTATTTCTAGTCAGCTGGATATTAGAATAACAAAGGAGCATCTCAATGAAGTTTCTCTCTATCGAGCATCCAATACCGAAAATTAAATTAAGAATGGGTCAGCACCGCAGAGGCAGCTGGTCTAGAACCTTCAGTTATTTCTCGACTTAAAAACGATCACCCAATTTGCTCCGTTCTTTACTTGCTTATTGGAGCACAAAGCCTACTTCACTAATGATGTTACATCAACGAATCCGTCATCATTTAAAGTTAAACCTACCATCAGTGTATAGGCGAGCCAACGGTTGGAATAACGTGGTTCCTAAACCTTATCCTAACCCAGCTGCCCAATTTATTAGAAGCCATTTACCCAAAACCAAAGTATTTCTAGACCACCTACGCTGTGCGCAACCAAACAGCACGCATGTAATGGAGTCATTTGATGTTACTTCACTTTATGCCAAACAAACACAACTCAATCCAATTCTGATCCATTCTTTTCAAATTTTATTGAAAATGAAAGGACGGGAATTATCTTACTTCAAAACGATGGCGCACTAGGTGGTAGCTGGAAGTGAAAAGGAAGTAGCGGAGGAAATGTCAGAACTAGCGGAAGCGTTTCATTCTCTGGTTTGACGCAAAGCGCTTCATCGCGGCTGCATGTGCATCCATCACATCCACAATCGCCATCGGTTTTGCACGGCTCTCCTACGGTGTAAATTTCTTCGTCCAAAAAGTTACCACTGGAATAAATCAATTGCTCAGTCTTGTTTGCACAAAAATTTTAACAAGGTCAAGATTTACCCTGGTCCATACTGGCAAATTACAACTGAACCTTCCGAGCATATTGCAGCACCACAGCCGAGTTTGTACGTGCGGTCCCACACCATCTTCACATAAATCGTCACGAGAACTCAGTAGAAGGAAAATACTATAAGGACAAGCTATTCACCTGTGAGTACTGTGAAACAGAAAAGCTTTGATTGGCAACCATCCAGGTGAAGAGGTTATCCGGTTGCACCCCTCCTTCTTTTAACTGGCTAAACCACGATTGGCTTGCCTTCAACAAGCATTATCAAGTGTCTTTGAGAACTCACCCAGTTCATGAACTTTTCAGGAGTCACTTATTTCGTCTAAAAATAAGGCGCATTAAATCCTTAATAAGATATCTAGAATAGTATTTAAACGCGCTCTGAGAAATCATGTCGAATCATTGAAAACATAATCCACTCACCCATACACCAATCACAGAGAAATTCGTCCTCATGCCACTAACGTGAAACAGGTTCTCTCCAAGACCAGGGCGTTCAGATATAGCACTGCTTTCGAAAACGCATTTCTGTGCATGTCTTGAAGCACTTTCTTCAATTTTGCAGTCATACACCTGATTAAATTATTTAATACTAGATATTCTCCATAAAGAAGAAAAAGAAAGGTGCGGTACGAGTCTGACCAATTTTAGCATTCGGGCCGCTTTCGGTGCGTAACCGTTGACTCCTTTTGGGTCTTCAGCCAAACCTTTGGCCACCAAGGATCTACAAGTTACGAGAAACGTTTTATCTTTAACACTTTTAAAAACCGCATTGGGTAGTTTTTCCAATACATCACATACTGTACTTCTGTTTATCTTCACTTGTGTAAGATTACACGATCACTAAAAGCACCACCTCAGCCTATTATGCTCATTCAGGATAGCATTCCTCGCTTCATCAGTCATTCCATTGCCCAGACTACATTTATCTGAATCTTTCACTTAGTGTTAACACCGACTTAGTGGAATGTTATTGTCACTTCTAAATATTATGACATAGAAAAGCAAGAAAACCTGTTATTAGCTGAGTTGTTTCGCTCTTTTCGGGAAAACTTGTTGATGGCGAAGTTGTTTCACTGATGTCTGCAGGAAAACTTGTTGTTGGTTGAGTTATTTCGCTGTCATCTTCAGAAAAACTTATTGTTGATTGAGTTGTTTCGCTGACGTCCCAAGGAATACTATCCGATGTAGTTGTTTCGCTGACATCTTCAGTACGATTTATGGTTGGTTGAATTAATTCTACGACGGCTGAGCTTTTCGAATCAACACAAAGGCCGCCATCGCAGGTCGATCCGTTGTAGGTTGTGCAGTCACCGTCCCAAATGCACTCAGAAGTCGAAGTTTCCCATAGCGACGTTCCAAGACGATTACCACTGAAACTACCAGATATTTCAACCTTCGGGAAACTGGACGTAATTTCCTCCACGTCTAATTAGTAGTTTGTAGCCACCACGAGGAAGAGATTTTACTTGCCGGTAAGCCACATGTAATGGAGTTTGGGGGCATTTTTATTTGATTGTTAATTAGATTAATCTGCTTTATATGTTGTTTCCATGCAAAGCGCTTTTAAAAGTGGAGATCAAATGTCACACCAAAGTATGTTTCATTAAAATGTGGCGTGCCCAAATAAGAAAATCTTTTCGTATGTAATAATACTTTAGCCCCTTCCTTCTTGTAAAAGATGGACTGCGTATCGTCAGCAAACTGGCTCGTATTCGGTGAAAAAAAACCTTTCAGAGCATTGTCAGATAACATGCCAAAGGAAAGACAGTCTTGTAGATCTAACTCACCCATTCTGAAACAACTCTGTGGTTAGAATGTTTGATTTTGCAAGGTGACCTAGCGCAGAATGGATGAAGAAATCGAATAATCATCTTCCAGTTGATTTAGAAAGGAACTTTTTCTACGGGGTGATATTTGCTCGCATTCGTTTGGGGCAAAGGCGGTTGAATTTGGAAAAGATCGTCGTCACAGTATGCAGCACGAATAAAACGTTTCGTAACCCCGTGGTATATTAGTGAAATTAGCTATTCATAATCACTAATAGTTTCGTGTCCACTCACTGTTTGTCGTAGGCACAGGCGGTGATATAGAAGCTCTCGCACCATTTGACAGAACATCCTACTTTGGTTGTTTTCGAGTAAACCATCTGAAATGCTTCCTGTCTTATGTGTATAGTCTGCTTTAGATCATTGATGATATGTGAGCTTTCTTAATGTGATCTTCTCGTTGGTGCTAAGAAGGTCTCCGCGGTCCAATAGCGGACGCCACAAGCATTGAATGACCAGGTGTCGCCTGTTGTTGTAGGTGAAGTAATTTCAGTGATACGAAAAAATTTTACTTAGAATACTACAGATTTTTCCCTATGAAGAACTACGAAGTGGTCCGTATATAACGATGGCTCAAGAATTCCGCATAATTTGATGTGCCAACAGAAGAAAAATGAGCTTAGTTAACAAGACAAAATCTTTTCCTAGTAAGACTGTTATACCTCGAAGGATATAAACTTGCTCTACCAAAAAAGAAAAAATAAAACAAGCCTACATTAGCAAACTCAAATAGTCCTGAATGGCCAACTGAGTTGTTTGCACTCAAACGATGCTCACGAGCTTCGTTTTTCCACTTTAGCACTGTCGTATAGGCGTTTAACAAATACCAATCTAGCAGACCTACAGATTTCGTCCTGAATATCAACATATTAAATCTCGTAGAGTTAAGTTTTTCGCAGGAAAAACTGTTCATTCTTACACATCTACATTTCGGGCGTAGTGTGTTGCCTCGAACGTTGGCTCGGTCGTTGAACAGGAGTTAATGGATTCTTCTGCGATCCGTTCCAGATTGTAGTCCCAACGCTAGAAATGTTTGTTTGAAGTTAGCTTGTTAGAATCGATTTCAGCCCATGAAATCCAATTAGTGATAATCGCATGGCACAAATCTTGCTGCTTGCAGAGAGTGGAAATGGGTTATTTCCATAACTAAGTGCGACGTAGATCAATCAGGAGCACTTGAAGGTTTTGAGAAAACCTGTACTGCCTATAAAAAAATAGTGAAAGCATCCGTACCAACATATACATATTTTTCGCTGGTCCGAGAGGTTCATCCACACCGAAGTATTTTCCACGAGCAATCAATCTGCGTACTTCGTTGTGGAGATTGAGAAACATCGCTTTTGTCACGCCGTCCATCTTGAAGTCGAAACGGCCAAACGGTTCTCGAAATACAGCACCGAATACCGAGTTTGTTTCGGCTTTCGTACGAACTCTGCCGATGAGAGACTGAACAATTGCTTTAAGGACTGTTTGAAGCGACATACCTGTGTTCTTGGAAAGAATTACATCAACTGATGTCTATCATTGACCCACAATATGACAGCAACCGAGTGACCTACTGCATTAATCGAATGCAACCTAATGTCCAACTCCTTTCTTGAAATTTCCCATAATCGAGTAAAATCGGAAGGCTTACCAATGTGAACACAATGGGTAGAACCACGCATACCATTGAGCTGTAATTACACTTTAGTTAATCAAATAGTTTTTATGGCATTCGTACTGAGTAGAAGGCGGAAATCCAAGCTAAGTAAATATATGTTGTTTTGAGATTTGCATTTTCATTGAGGATATATTTAACAGAATAGTTGCCTTTTGAATCCTAGCATATCAAGTCCAAAGCGAGTATTTTGTGTTTTAGTAGCGGGGGTGGTAGGACCTGGAGGTGAGGGTAAACCTGGCGGGCATGGATGGAAACCTTATGCATTGTCTCTACGAAGTTGAACAAGAACGAAGAAGCCCGATAAATCTGCACTCAGACGGGTTTTTATGCATAGGCAAACGTAATTTCTTCTCTATTGTAATGCTATTTCGTTGGATTCTTATGACTAACGAGAAAAAAATGGGCATTAATTATGGCGTGATTAAGACAAAATTCGGGCTAAATTTTTGTCGGCAATGAAGAGAACGGAAGAATATCACTTTACAGTATTCGCTATAGAATGACTCAGTGTCATAATAGCACATGAATTGAAGGTTCCATCCAAAGTTTATTTGGTCCAATGAAGTATTACAGTTTTACTCCAAATTCCTCACCTGATCGGGGCTTCGAGACATGATTCGAGAAGTTTTCAGCTCTGTGTTCGGTGAATGTGATCACGTTTTCTTTAAATGTCAGCTTTGTTCAGTGCGGCAGTGTTCACGATTTACCAATGGTGGCAAACAAACTGATAAGTTGAGACTTGTATACCACCCCTGATAACCCTTGAAGGCAAAAAAAGTGCTTCAGCAGACAATGATTTTTTGGAGAAGGTCTTTCAATCCCAGTGAGATTTCATTACATCTCATGATTTGAAACACACGGTTCTCCAAGTACGGTATGTATATGGGATATATGGGATATATAGTGACGGACAAATTAAAAATGAAAAAAATATAATTTTGACTTATTATTTACTGCCTGCTCTTTTTAACGGCAGGGTATACATTGTGAAATATAATTTTAATGGTGCTGAGATATTTGCAAAACTCCGGACCACAGCTGTATGCGGTGGGGAACGAACGCGCTATTGTCCTTTCCGGGGAGTGCTGATGGCAAAAGATCGATAGAACTAGCTGAGAGACAGGCGAAACGAAGGACCCGTGTGGTGTGGTGGTGAACGCGTTACTCCCCGGAAAAGACAAGAACGCGTTCGTTCCCCACCGCATACACCTGCGGTCCGGAGTTTTGCAAATACGTCAGCACCACTGAAAAAAATATATTTGGTCCCTGGTACACTCTTGCTGATATGTTCAGCTGAGAAAAATTTCGTTATTAAGTATGTCTTACTGCTCTTTCGCCCCACCGCTGTGAAGAGTTATTAACTTCATTTCGGATTCTAGAGTTAACATATTCGTAAAAACACAAATTAATAAACAAGTGACGATGACGTTGCCACGTCACCCTGCCTGCCATATGAATTTTGTTGTCGAGCACTCTGCACTTTTTGCATCGTCATGGAGAACAGTGAATCAGTTTGATATTAGATTGTGGCCATGACATTTCATAGAAACGCAGCTTATTAAACATGTGACGGGGCTGCGGCCAACGTCCCAATGTAACATATGAACAAGCTAAGAAATTTTTGCGAGAGCGATGTGAAGGAATGACACGCTCGATGACCTGCTTCGGTTTGTGACTGCGGTCTGATGGAAATCTTTGAAGTAGTTTTTTGTTTATTGTCTATTTTTTAAGCCATGTTATAAAGTGAAATATAACTACAATGATGTTGAGATATTTGCAAAACTCCTGACCGTTGGTCTCTGTGGGGGCGATCGCACTCGCTATTTACCCCGTCCAAGGGCTAACGTGTTCACCACCATACCATGCGCGTCCTTCTTTTCGCCTTTCTCTCAGCTGTGTTTTAATCCATAGGTGCTATCAGCAATCCTCGCGCTGCTGAATATCGGCATGGTAAATTTCCTTGTTTAGTTAAAATTTAGCTATGAGATTCAAATCTTTTTTGGCTTGAGCACACCAGTCTATATCGTTTCTTGCAAAATGGGCAAAATGAACTGCGATCTTCTATTGTTGAATATAGAGACGTGGTTGTTGTAAAAGCAATAATTCCAGTTCGTTACAAAATTTTGTAATAGTTAACATTTATGCGGTTTCGCATCATCATAGCCGTGATAACTCCACTCGATTGTTCAGTTGTTTCTTCTTCTCTTCGTAGTTGTCGCACTAAGTCAAACCGAGTGGATGAAGCACCGCACAAGTGTTGTTGAATCCCTCATCACGGCCATTTTATACAGCACAGTTCGTGCCGCGTTGTGACCTGATCAATGCGAAGACGGTGATTATCCAGACTGTGGTTTATTGGAAATCAGCAATCAGAACTTGTTTTGCTACACGCCAGTTAACATTAATGCAACAGTTGCGTCATATATTATCACTATGTGAAAAAATAGTCAGGTTAGAACACTTCGTCCGAGGTTGAGTGAAAGCCGTGCTAGGATTTGTGAAGCTTTCGTTCGGCGAACTTTTTTGCACGTTCGCTTTCTCCAGAGCCGTATTGATACGAGTGGTTGGTCTACATCTGGTTCTTTCCGCTATTATGGTGTTCGTAGTGGCATCGAATCAGATCGTGTGCAGTGAACGGCTTCAACGAAGTAACTCACTTAGCAGTGTCTTTTTACAGAGAACTGCTCCTAACTAGTAATACCCTGATAGTTAGGCTCAGGATAAACCAAAATCTCTTGAGCTAAAGAGTAAAGTCTTTTCTAAACTTCATGAAGAAGTAAATTTGTCCTTTCAAGTAATCGAGTGGTCACTGTTACTTTCGAAAAACCAGTTTCGAGCGTTGTATATTAAACAGTGAAGCTTTCCGCTTTTACGTCTAATTAAGCAGTATACGTTGTTGGCAGGATATTTTTTCTCCCGTTCAGACCAGTGTTAATTCCCTTCAATATTTGCACTGAAACTCAACGTTCTTGGAGCTGATTTCATCTACTGAAAAGCTGTTACAGATTTGTCTATGGCGCTCAACCTGTTTTTAAATTTTACGATTATTCTCAATTGAAAAACTCTCCGTAAACCATACGAAATATAGTGGCGATATGAAAGTTTGCTTTTGAAGCAATGGTTATGCAACTAATATTTCTTTCCATCTTTCATCGTGCAAACAACTATCAAAATATCAGCTTTTATTTCATAATCATTGAACCTCAACGACGAGTTCCATCTTCGAAAAAGACTCCACCGTCAATAGCACAATACTTGGCGCAGATTCCAGGCTCTCCAGATGACCCTGGCGGTCCCTTGTCGCCTGGAATTCCTTTCGTTCCGTCGATACCGGGTACACCATCAGCTCCACGTGCTCCTTCGATTCCAGGCTCTCCTAAAACATTCAGCAGTACGAACCACATTTATTACCTTTTTGAAATGGTACGTGCAAAGCCATTCCACTCTATGATAAAGCACTACTATCTCACTATGACCCTTAATCTCGGGTTTTGTGGACTGACTAGATAACTAGAAAGCTTCGTGATTTGTGGAGATAAACGGATTGTAAAAATGTTTCTGCTTTATCGTTGTATCGATGAATGTCTTTTATGGTGCTATTTACTAAATGTTACTGTGGTCCATCATGCAAGCACATTAGTGTCAGCATTTGGAAGTGCTTTGTAACACATGGGCATGCATTTGTTGTCCGCCTGCATACTCTATACTGCCATTTAGTGTAACAGTTAGAAATGAAACAGTTCTGGATACGTATTGTACAAATACACTCGTAGTATATAAAACACTGAAACGTATTATTTTTTTGTATATTTCTAGATGGCGAATAGAGCTTATCCCAAACAACGCCTAACACAGCATCTAGGCTCTACTAGTTACCAAATAACAGCAAAAAGCTTAGGAAAGTAGTTCTATGTGTCTAAATAAACCACTGGAAAGAAAAATAAGACATAGGTGTCTTGACGACCACACTTCGGCAAGACCATTAGAACAATGTAGGTGTCACACGTCGCAAGAGTGTCAAGTATTTTTAATATTTACTCGAATTTTACCTGGTCTTCCAGAGTATCCAAGCCGTCCTTCGCTTCCAGGTGGTCCCTGAGACCCAGGTGGTCCTTGCGGTCCAGGCGGTCCTGGAGAAGAAGGAAGTGAGATAGCGGGCTGCCCGGGCTCTCCGGCTCTCCCAGGATATCCTGGATTTCCACTGGCCCCTGGTGGTCCCTCGGATCCAGGTCCTCCCTGCTCTCCTGGGTATCCGGGTGTGCCAGGATTTCCATTTTGTCCAGGATGTCCTGGAAGACCAGGAATGCCAGGAGGTCCAGGTGGTCCATCTGGGCATGGCTTACACGGTGGAGAGGTGTATTCATGGCATGGCCTAACTATTTTTCGACCAGGCTTTCCAGGTGGGCCTGGATTTCCTGGTCTTCCTGGGTTTCCTGGCCTTCCTGCCGAGCCAGGCTCGCCTACTGAACAACAGGTGCTACAATCTTTGTATCCGTAGTCTTCATATCTCTTCACTTCTTGATTTACAAGGTAGCCGACCTGGCGTGCAGTACGGTTTCCTTTTTGCCTCAAAGTGTTCACTTCCGATCGGATTTCGCCGGCTGAAGCCTGAATGTGCATTACTAATGGAATGAAATCACACGGAAAGTTTAAAAAAAACGCTCACACGGCAAAAGTTGAGTTCTATGTGCATTGTGCGTCGAACATGATACACGTAGTTGTACACCATAGGCAGGGTGATAGCAACTCCAAGAATGGCGACAGTCGAGAATGCCACAGCCGAATAGGCCACGAATCGGTAAGCTTTGCAACGATGCTGCCACTCGAATTCCATGCTGACAATATTGTCAAGTATTCTGCCGTATATATATAGGCAAGTTTCAATACGTATAACCTCGTATCATTGTCTATTCGGTTTTTTTTCAGCGTTTGTGCCATACGCGATGGGAATCGAACTCGGTTCTCAGCAATCATTAAGATAATCGGTAGAGTTTTCAGTTTTCTTAGCGTTAGCGACTACATCTAAAAGACATAACTTCGCGATTCAAATCGACATTTGTGGCATACAGTCGTGTTTAGGTTTTGGTCAGCTTTCGATTTTTTTTTCTCTGCTCATTGAAATATGGAATAAAGAATGGTGGCGAACTTTCCTCTAAGTTCTTTTCAATCCTATCATTCGCTGAGTTTATTAAGCTTTGCAACATTTATGTCAGGTTATTTGGAAATCTGTCGGATTGGCAACTTTGGCATTTTTAAACAATAATTTTCTTCCCGAGTGCTGTATTACCCTATAACATTCCACAGCTCGTTTTATGCACTTCTGCCATATTAAATTGAGTTAGTATGTATATCTCGTTCTCGGAAAACTTCAAGTGTTTGATTTAATTCTAGATGTCAAAGGTAATTTCGACAATTCTATTCCTACCAATGCAAACTCGGAAGTAGTGCGGTAGAAAAGACTCGAAACATTGAAGTCGTATAGGGGAGAAATTATTGACGAAAGGGTGGGTAATGAAATGGTGGTTTGGAAATTTTTGACGTGGGCAATTCGGACTTGAAGAGGGGGAAAGAAGATCGCGAACACTAGAATTCCTCTAGGATCGCAGCATTTCCCACAGTTGGTCGATAGAGCACGATAGAGTACAACAGTTGAACTTCTCAACAAATACTGTGTTTGAATGAAATCAAAGAAACTACATTGTTTCAATAGTTGACGTTTTACCAGTTTCGCTTTGCTCAGAACTTGAAGAGGTGAAACTGATGCGTCATCCACTCAGTGAAACGCTTTCAATAAGTCGTTCCTGGAAAACCACGTCATTTTGGATTTCCACTCATTCTTCTTTTTAATAACACCAGTGAAATATCATCAGCTGATAAGTTCTCGCTCAGTTTAAGGAGAGTATGTAAACTGTGGTTTCGCAATTCCTTCTTTACTTTTATTCTTAAAGATTTTAACAGGAAGTTTTCAAAAAAACTTCAAGTGTTGTTTTTGAGGAAAACTTTTTTCCCATAAGTAAGCTTTGCACCATATTCAAAAGTTTTCTGAAGGATTTTTCTTCTGTTTTTGAACATTAGCATGGTCTTAATTATTCAGTAATATCATTCCAGTTTTAAGAAATTGGTAAAGCTGGTGCGGTTGAACTCTTGGCAAATTGTTGAGCTCAGAACCCATTGTGGAATGGTGTTTTTCTAAGTGCCGTCAGTTATTCCGCCCTGAATAGATGGATCGGCATAGATGCATATTTACACAATCGATAAATCAATCTCTTGTAGGAAATATTTCGATCTTGGACGGCTTTTTCATAGTTCACTGATCATAAAAATAACACGTAGTTTTGTGGTCATATCAGTCCAATGTAATTCGGCTCGATTCTCATTAGTGTGCTGCTGCTGATGGGGCTCGAGATAAGATCGTCACCATTGTAATCCTCATGTAACCTTGGTATAACTGTTTATTACAGAGTAGTATAAAGAATGCTGAGAACATTTTCTTGGTGCTCATCTGGAGTTCTTACGGTAATTTTGTCTTTGTTGAAACTTATACTGTGCCAGAGACTATTAGTGAGACTCAGATTCAGCGAACTGAAGAGTCTTTTAAAATAGAAAGTAAAATAAGCTGAGAGACAGGCGAAACGAAGGACTGACATGGTTTGGTGGTGAACGTGTTAACTTTGTTCTTTCCGCTTTCTTTTGATAAAAAAAACTGTTTCAGCAAATTTAATTCTGATGATTTTCCTGAGAATGTAATCGCCCAAGTATGTTAAATTCCTTATTGGTGTCAATAGATGTTAATCGAAAGCAATGTGATCGCAATGTTTTACTTTTTATTTTCTGTCTACCACAATTTTTACGGCAGAGTGTTAAGCGAAATAGAACCACAACGTTGCTGAGGTATTTACGAAACCCCGAGCCGCGGGAGTCTGCGGTGGGGAGTAACGCGTTCACCACCACACTATGCGGTGCGGATCCTTCGTTTCACCTGTCTTTCAGCTCGTCCTATCGATCAGTGCCAACAATGTGATTATATGAAGAGGGAAGATTCGAACGATATGCAAGGAAACACCAACAAAAGGTACAAAAAACCAACAGAAACCATAAACAGAAATGAAACAATGCACAATTTACCTATTCAAGACAACTCAAGTCGATAAATCTATCTGCAAATCTGCCTGCCATATGAATTTTGTCGTCGAGCATTCTGCACTTTTTGAACTGTCATGGAGAACAGTGAATCAGTTTGATATTAGATTCTGGCCATGACATTTCATAGGAACGCAGCTTATTAAACATATGATGGGGCTGCGGCCAACGTCCCAATGTAACATATGAACAAGCTAAGAAATTTTTGCGAGAGCGATGTGAAGGAATGACACGCTCGATGACCTGCTTCGGTTTGTGACTGTTGTCTGATGGAAATCTTTGAAGTAGTTTTTTGTTTATTGTCCATTTTTTAAGCCATGTTATAAAGTGAAATATAACTACAATGATGTTGAGATATTTGCAAAACTCCTGACCGTTGGTCTCTGTGGGGGCGATCGCACTCGCTATTTACCCCGTCCAAGGGCTAACGTGTTCACCACCATACCATGCGCGTCCTTCTTTTCGCCTTTCTCTCAGCTGTGTTTTAATCCATAGGTGCTATCAGCAATCCTCGTGCTGCTGAATATCGGCATGGTAAACTTCCTTGTTTATTTAAAATTTAGCTATGAGATTCAAATCTCTTTTGGCTTGAGCACACCAGTCTATATGGTTTCTTGCAAAATGGGCAAAATGGGCAAAATGAACTGCGATCTTCTATTGTTGAATATAGAGACGTGGTTGTTGTAAAATCAATAATTCCAGTTCGTTACAAAATTTTGTAATAGTTAACATTTAGGCGGTTTCGCATCATCATAGCCGTGATGACTCCACTCGATTGTTCAGTTGTTTCTTCTTCTCTTCGTAGTTGTCGCACTAAGTCAAACCGAGTGGATGAAGCACCGCACAAGTGTTGTTGAATCCCTCACCACGGCCATTTTATACAGCACAGTTCGTGCCGCGTTGTGACCTGATCAATGCGAAGACGGTGATTATCCAGACTGTGGTTTATTGGAAATCAGCAATCAGAACTTGTTTTGCTACACGCCAGCTAACATTAATGCAATAGTTGCGTCATGTATTATCACTATGTGACGAAGTACTCACGTCAGATCAGTTCGCCGCTGTTACAGTTGTGTCTGAAGGAGCAGTGCTGGATGGTGCCAGTTCATTCGTCCAATGCTTTATTCTACACGAGGTAACCCGATGCGTCAACTAGGATGGTCCACATCGCGAAGGCAAGCTGATTTCGTACCATCGTGACCATGATGACGTGGAAACCACTGAAGCATTAGCCACAATAAAAATCAATAAAAATATGTAGAATCCTCGTGTGTGGTCACCGAATAGCTAAAATTTTGATTTTCCAGGCCGTGGTTCACTGGAAGTCGGAAATGAATACTTGCTCTGCCATGTCCTAGTTAATACTAATTGATCTGTTTCAAAATGGACTGTCACCAAATATGAAAGTGTTTTCGGCCGAAAATTGCGTAAAGACCCTGCCGTATTCTGGCCAATAGCACGGTGAGGTTAGGTCACTTCAGTGTTGCTAGGGAGTAGTCCTATATGAAGAAGTAACGGTGGGGGAGCTACTTCAGTTGTGTAGTGCTCCACTCTACACGATTCGTATGGATGTGATGGCCGCCAACAATGACCCAAAGCGCATGAACGGGCAACTGCTGTAGGCATCACACTCGAATCGTCATGACCATGAGGAAAGTGAAACCGCCGAAACGTTAGCCATAGCAAACGTAACAAGTTCGTGTAACCTTTTCAGTAGATAGATTTTGCTGGATGTTTTGAACATTTTTTGATGAATTCGTATACGAAGGCCCAGTAAATGAGAAGTAATTTGAGAGTAAATTTTTTAAACCATAAAGATGCTATGAAATGAGTAAAATTCGGAGCTCCAAGTTCTCTTCGAACTTGCGTTAACAATTTCCGCAGCCCCACGTGTTATCCACTGCACCAATCGACGCCCTTACATTGGCTTTCTCTTAGCCACTTTTCTACTCTAACGGTTCTTTCAACAATCACTCCTCTACAGAACCGGCGGACACGATGATAAGATATTTGCAAAATTTGGACCGCAGGCCACACTCCAACCCACGATTGCCCTTTGAGGGAATTCACGTGTTACCCTGTGTACCACGGAGACCTTACCTTTAGCGGTGTCATCAGCAATCACCTGTCAAAGGGAATGATATGGAGTGCACAGGTCGACATAGAACTCAGTTAAGCAGAGTCTATAGCAGAAATAACAATGTTTAGCATTTTCTTTACTGCCTACTACTTTTTCGCGACAAGGTATTGTGAGAAATGCAACCACAATGATGTTGATAATTGCAAAACCTGGAACCCAAGCTGGATCTAACAGCGATTAACTTTTCCGAGGGCCCACGAGTTACCCACTGAAGTATTGGTGCCACTGTTTTGCCTTTTCCTCAAATGGTTTTTTACCCTAATGATGTTATGAGCGTTTAGAAATAAACAGCAGTTTTCCAAATAAGTAGGTGAGCTTCGAATGGTGTTTCAGTTATAGTATTGAAACTTCTTAGGCACATTACATGAGGCTTCTGATGGCGACGTCCACTTACGTCTTAATCGCTAGCATTAGTGGTAGCTATTATTGATGCATCAATATGTTGTAGTGATCGATGCTCCATTCACAATTGGAAGTAGTTCAATGGTGGAATAATCAGCTGAATAGCAGACAGTGTAGAGACTAATCACTTGATTAGTAGTTGCTTTGCCTCT